GCACAAAGGATGGTGTAGTTTATATAATTACTTAGCATGTAAGTTTGTTTTGCCGAAGCAATCATGAGAATTTAATTATACCTGAACTATTAGTCGGTGGTGGCCGAACACGTTGATCGTAATCTTCGAGAAGTTTCTCAAGGATTGATTGCTCTTCAGAACTACTATGTACCATTTTTTGAGGATCATCAGTAGTGATTGTCATCGGTGTCCCATGCTTTACTGATTCCGTAATACAGAAGACAATAATAACTAGAATGCTCATCACGAAGATAGCATAGTTTAAGCTGAAATATGCTAGAATCAGTTTTCATCTAAAATGAAGTTTCTTCATTTCGTGCCAATTTCCACTTTACACATCATCAATATTTAAGCAAATAGCAGCTAAAAGTTGGATAATTAAACGATTTTGGACAAATAAATATGGATTCCATTCATCCGTCAGCATCTATTATTTTCATCTCACAAAAGACGCAATTTCTTTTTCTGTTATTTTAGTAACGCTGACAAGTTTCAGAGGAAGTGCTAGCTTATTTCAGATACCTTGGATAGATCAAATAAAGGAAAATTAAAAGCTTGTTTTTCAAAAGCCTTTCTCAGAGTTTTTTTGCCAAGAAAGGAAATAAAAATTCCATCGAGCGACAGAAATAATTAATTGAGATAGCCATTGATAGTTCAAATAAGCAATATAAGTATATATATCCACCAAAAACAAAAATTAGTGCGCAACATCGAAACATTCATTGAATATGCCATAGCATGTCTAACATTTGCTTCCCTTCAAACAAGTTAAGACTATTAATGTGTTAGATGTGGGAGTGGATTTGTTTTGAAATTTGATTGACGTCAAAAATTGCGATATATGCAAGTATGAATTGAAGTTTTCCATTTGCTTATATAACAAACAAGTCATGAGCCAAAACGAAGCGAACATCGAATTATTTGAAATACAGTGTGCATGTGAAAGAATACAGTTTTTTCTTTTAATTAAGTAGTACACATTCATCAACTTCAGAAATTTTTAAACAATAAGTTTTCCAGCTAGGCTAATGAACTATTTTATAAGTGATTGTTGCGGCTATAAATAGCTTTGTGATTTAGGAAGCGTCCTAGAAGATTTGGGGTTATTTTCAAGGAAAGTGAATTTGGCAATAGAAAGTATTTATCTTGAAACATTAATGACCTATGCGGGATGCCAGACGATTATGGCATAGCAGCATTTGTAATGTAGGACTTCTGTTAACTTCTGTCAAAAAATTTTTCTGTATTCACGGACAACAACTGATCAATTTTTCTCATTAGAAGATTCTTTGTCATGCATGAATTACAATATTGCAAGATTCCGGAAGAAAATCCATAGTAATAGAAAATATTTATTTTTTAGCGAGGAAAAAATTGTTCACTTAAAAATCACAGTTGAACTCTCTCTGTCCCGTTTCGCTAAAGTTAATTGGGGTAAAATTGTTGATGGTTTTGAGATGAGTTAAAGTCTTGTCAGTATTTACTGAAAAGGAAATATTTACTTGATCAAAAAGAAATTATAAATTGTACTTACTAATGATTAATTTTTTTGATTAATATTAACAAAAGAATGGTTTATGATAAGTAGTAGCATGATGGGAAAAATAAGATAAAGATCAGGTAAATATTTGGACATGAGTTGATGTTGCAGATGAAAAGAAAAATACGCATGAAACTACACGGCTAGCATTTACTTGATCACACACACACACACCACAACACAAAACACACACACACCACACCACACCACACACACACACACACACACGCACACACACACACACATACACATATAATGATGTATGCTTTCATCTTTTGCTTCGAAAGCTCAAGCTATATCACGATTGATGGAGTATGACAGCTCTATAATCAAGATAATGAGTTGGAAATAGAAATACCTTAAGGCATGTGAAAGATGAGAATTACAACTGATGCCTAATTATCATTACTTTCATTTAAAAGCAAAATATAGTGATAGATCATTGCATAGAAAAAAGAAAAAGAAAGTAACAGGGATCTTAAAGTTAGTTTTGGCTTCTGTAATATTTAAAGGTTTGTTTGTATTTAGGTCTTGCATATATATTAAAGAAGTCTCTTCATATAATATCCTTCAATAACATCCTTTACCGCTGCATATTTAGGTTGACTATACGGGAGATGCTTTGTCAGATAGTGTAACAGTTGTAGTTGTAACTGTTACTTTCACACGTTGATTAAATTTTGCATTTCAAACATAAGTTTAATCGTGTACAAATGGAGGAGCATGAAGTGTCTTATTTTTTCTAACTTCTATTGATGAGTGCTCTTTTCCATGGTTCTATTTTTTTAACGAAGAGTGAAAAAAATTGCCTCATAAGGTCTAAAGAACATTAGCATAACCTTGCCTATAAACATGGCAATGTTAGCACTTCCTCAACCATGCATGGAATGATCATTTATGCCTGGCGTTACTAACCATATACCTCTTTGCTTTTTTCCCATTCTTCATTCTGATTCATGAAAGCATTTGTATGCGTGTCTTGAATGTGCTAGCAAAAGTACAGATTCTTTTTAATTTCACTGAACAACACTTAAATTAATAAAGTCTTTAAAATCAGACTTCATTTTTTGCCATGCTGAAGTATAGAAATGGAAGAAAGAAGACAGAGGATGTTGTTAATTCTTAGAGCCAAAAATAATTCTGTTTCATTCTTTGGAACCTTCTTTTATTCATTTGTAAGTATCTGAGATAACTGGTGAAGTTAACAAGAAAAGGAAGAAAAAGTATCAGAAATCGAAGTTTTGATGTTTGAACTGTGAGCTAAACTGGAATGATTTCATCGGTGGAGAATTTGATGTAGCAATATCTGTTAAACTTGAGAAAAACATTGCATTGGGCAGTTCTGGTCAAGTGCTAGGAAGTAAGTATCAAATCATATTTTGAAGATCCGAAGCAGTATGAAATAATATATATATTGAAAGAAAGATAGCTTGTAAACTGAGGTAGGAGAGAATAATAATTTTAATTGAGGTTGAAACAGTCCAGTCGACAAATTCGACAAGCTGGTGAGGTTGCGTGGTTTCTATTGTCTATCTCCTTGACTGCGTATGTTAAACATATCATGCATTGCGGATGAAAAATGGAAGTGGTAGAATTGCAAATATTACTGAAGAATGCTATCATTATAGTTGTCAATGAAAAAAAAAGTTTCATCTTCATTTAGTTCTAGGATCTGTGCTTTCCTTGTCGGTATATCATCTTTATTTTAAAACACTTACTTTTTGGAAGACTAATTTTAACCATTTCAAACTAATTTTTATGAAAGGTGCTAATCTGGGGAAATTTTCATCTTTTTTTCAAGTTTTAGTCAAAATCTCTTCTCCTAGAATTGATACTTTAATTAATCTTTTATTCAGACTGTCTTTCCTGTATTGATATTTCTTGGCCAAGTACCCTGTTTGGTAGTAATGTAAAAACAAAGCAAATTCATTTATCATTGGATTTTTGATGCGGGCTAAATATTTTAGTACATCATGAGCAGGTGCCTAACAAAACCTAATTAAGAAGGCTAAGTGAAAGTGGCACTGTCAATTCGAATGTTTTTCCACATATAATGCTCCACTTGATCATTTCATTGTTGTGGAAAATGAAGACAACAATAGTGTTGTGTACAAGCTAAATCAGATATATCCTATACTAGTTTGGCATGTACTGTGGAACTAATTTTCGAAGAACTATCCAAATTATTGACCACAAACAGATTTATTAAACGAAATGATTTTTGCTAGCACCTTGACTGTGTTTCCAGTTGCAATCTGTGTCTCCGATTTGGTGACTTGAAAAAGAATTGAAGGATCGGTTGCAGAAAAGATAAAGATTGTGGACAAATTTACTAATTAAGACTTCAACATGAAATAGGAATTTCAACTAAAAAAATGCTTTTTCGATTAATGATTTATGACTTTGAATGGAAAGCACGCAGATGATGGGTGGTTTTTTACGGGAATGCTGAAATGAAAGAAGCGAGGAGAGAAGTTGAAATCTGATACACATTCGAGGGGATGAGTTAGAAAAACGAACTCCATGAATCGAAGGGCAATAAATACTCAAGGCCTGGCTTATATAGTCTGATATTCTTTGCTGCTTTTTAGTCTATAAAAACAAATAAGCATCCTTCATCACTGTCCATTATATTGTTTTTTTTTATCGTTAACTATTTTCATTCCCTCTCATTTTGTCCGTTTGTCTATGTGCCTCTCCATTTACTCTTTTGAGGATTTGCGCTTAGTCTGTAAGCTACATTTCGGAGCAAGCATAAGGTTCATCAACTTCATCGACATGGAATAGAGTCAAAGTGAATATGAAAAGAGAAAATAATTCGCAGAACTTTTTTTAAGGAAATAAAATCTTACTTTTAAAAGGCAATCCTGATTACATCAGTGCAGTACTGAATTCGAAGTGAGCTGCTCATATTGGTTTATGCTCAAACACTTCTTGTAAAAATTTTACCGATGCCAAATTTTTTTCTCAAAGAAGTTCGATTTCCAATATTTTAATCTCAAATCCAAAATTTCACGTGCACTATTGGAAAAACTTTGAACCTAGGAGGAAGAAGGTGGTATTTTCTGAGAGAAACAAATAAAGAGTGAACTTGAGACTTCCTCTTATTTCAACGTTTTGTAGGATTTGGAGATTCTGCCAAGATTTTATCTGATCTTGTTTTTTATATCGCTTCAGTTATAAGATAATTAGTATGATAAGCTACTAATAATATAATATAATTTTTTACTTTATTTTTTTTGAAATCAGTATAATTTGTGCAGCAGTTGAAGTGTGCTCATCTCCCGACGTACTACTGTGCTGCAATTATGTCTGCAGAATAAGAGTTTTGCAGAATAATTTGACAAAATTCTTAATTATGATTAAAGGAAATACAGTATATTTCAGTTGACCCTTGACTGTTTTATCTGGTGTTTTTTTTTGCAGTGTTTGTCATCTGATGAACGGACACACAGAGCACAGAAGTGGCAAATGGGATCAACAAGAGTTGTATCGTTCAATAATGCAGGCGTTGGAGGGAAGATGCTCTACAAGGTCTAATCTTGCCAAAGAATTCGAAATGCAGATACGTGAATTCACCGCTACTGTACGTGTAACTCTTTTCTAAGATAGTTTTTATAGAAAATTTTGCGAAAAGTCAAAACTTCAAAAGGTAATGGCCGCAAATTTGTTTGCCTTTCGTCATCTTAAGTGCTGGATTAAATTGATTGTCCAGGCAGATCATTTCTCAGTTTAATTAAATCATTTTTTGTTTGGTTTTTTATCAAAATCTATCATTTGGATTCATGTTTGTTTTTGCTGAATCGAATGACAATTGATCTATTGGAGGATTTAAATCATATGGCATCAAGTATAATTGAAAATTCGCAAATCTTCAAAGCGTACATCGTTAGTGGTGAAAAATAGTAGGCACAAAATAAACAAACTAAATGAAAAGAAAACGCGAGAAGACTTAATAGTTTTGGATAGCAGATTTGAAAACTTGAGTGTTGCGGTATGTTATAAGTAATGAAAAAATTTAAAACTCCTACTACAGTCAACTAAGCGTGCTAAATTTAGTTATGAAAAGATATTAGTAACCCCACTGCTATTGACAAGGCAAAATGAGATTACTCACTGAAGAGATATTCAATGCAACTGTTGCTCGCTTTTCATTAAATGTCTTTTTCACAAATAGAGAATTATTCTGCCTAGAAAGCGACATTTAATTTCAATTTTAGTTGGAATGTCACTTGGTTGATCTCCTCCGGAAACGTCTTGAGGAGCTGAATGAACCAGATCGTTTGCTTATTTCGAGACTTAACAGAGTTTGTTACATTCATTTTAATTTATCTCTCTTTTATTTTCTTATTAATAACAAGCTAACATATTGTTTGATTTGTTTTCTAATTTTCAACAGAAAATTTTCTGAGATTTTTAGGCAGTTTTCTTGTATTCACCGTGACAGGTAGAACACTTACATAGGTACTACTTAAAGTTTTGATGTTAGCTCACTTCTTATGAATATTTATCAAAGATCTCTTAGGAAAGATAATCTAGGCCAAGGATACTAGTTTAAACAGCGCAGGTACTAGCTTCTCATGAATTATGGAGATCAATGTTCGTCAATGTAGTTTTAAGTTTTGGGTTTCGGTTATAATAATTTGCCGCTATCAATGTAGTGAGTTTCTTCAGTTCATTTATGATCTAATTCAATTTTTTAAACTCCTTGTTGAATACAACGTAACTTCCAATCATACATAACTTTTTAAAAGCTGAAACGTAGAAGTCACATTATATTTGTTACTGATATTGTCATAAAACTCAGTAATTAATTCAAGTTTCAATATCTGAAATATGATATTCTTAACACCACTCTAATACAGTAGCAATCCTGTGATATATATATACATATACTATCCGAAAGTGGGCTTCATTCGTAGAGGAGAAATGAACAATGTACTCATAGGAATTTTCAAATTTTCAGGCTTTGTGCGAATTGGGAGACAGTAATTCGTCAGTACTTAGTCGACCCCTTTATCATATGCTCTCGCCCACCAGGCCAGCTCATCGAGTTTGGACGATGTGTACCAAAGACCCCGAACGGTTGGTTGTGGTTCTGTGCTGGTATTATCAACAAATAAATGTTCAAAATAGGCGTTGATTTGAATTTAAACTTGCCATCCAATTTCACTCATCATATGAAAAACAGAAGATGACTGGGAAACAAAGAATTTGCAATTTAATTTCACTAATCATATTAACTTGAATTGAAACTTCAAGTTACGAGTCTGTTAATAGATCTTTTTAGTCTGAAGAATTTGGTTTCTGAAGTTTGCCATATGGCTAATATCACATGCGATAATGGAGACGTGAGTTATTTTGAGTTTGAAAAGATTTTTCTTAGGTTTTAATCTTCTTATGAAGAAAGGTTTTTTGGAGTTAAAAGGGGGAAAATTCTCATTAAATGGAAAAAATTGAGAACGATTGTGGAGCAAGAAATTTGCAATTTGATTTCTCAGGAAATTTACTTTTTTAGGAACAAAATTCGTGTCAAGTAAAATTTAGCGCTGCATTACCATCAGCATGGAGTGCTGCTGACTGTGCCAAATACTTGATTGAGAAACAAGAAGTAGCTGAAGATATTTTGTCTGAACGGCAGGCGCGACATTTCGGTAGTTATCGTAGTATGAAAAATGGGTACATCGTTCTTTTCCAAGATACTAGTTATGAGACCTCTTAATTACGCAGCTTTTTCAAAAGTCGGTTGAAATTGTATTTGATTGGAATATCAAAGTTTCATGCAGATTTGAATCAGGCACTGAGTTAGATGGAGGTCTTCTGTATCACTTTTTTTCTTCAGTCATTCCCTTTTAAAGGAATAGTAATTCAAAATTTAATTGATTTCATAAATATCGAAATATTCCCTTTCTTTTTTGCTTTTGTCTTCAGTTTTTCGTTGATGAAATCAGCATCTTTAACACTGGAACGGGCAACATCTTCTCTTCCAACGCTTGTTTCTCCGGATACTCATACAAACCGCTCGAAAAATGATTCATCGGTTGATTCAAGACCGTTTATTAAATCGGATCATGACAAAATATCAGATAAACAGTTGTCCACTGAAGATAACAAGACACAGATACCGCTTGAACCTAGTGTTTTTGTAAGTTTTGGAGTCGAAGATTTTGCATCTCTATGCAGTTTGTATTTCACTTATTATTTCATTTGCTTCTTTCATGTTCACTTCACTTCAGTATATTTTTCATTTCTGTTTTATTTCATGTCACCCTTCTTTTATACTTCTAACTTTATCAGCGTATGTGTTAACTTTATTTTAGTTCATTTCAATTTTTTTGTCAATGGACCTTTTTGTTCATTTTCTTTGTTCATTTATTTATTTATGTGCTTGTTTAAATTTTTTTCTTTCTTGGATTTTAGGTTCGTGGAATGAGGCAGCAGTCATTCCGGGAATCCTCGCTCACCGATGAATCAGATTCAGCTTGCGCTTTGAAAGAAGAAGCTTTCAAGTAATGTGTATCGCTTATTTATCTGTTCATTCTACACTTGTTGTTTACCCGCAATATTTTTGTCATCTGTTTTATCTATGTTTTAGAGTTTGCTAAACCGGAAATTAAATGTCTCTTTGGCAGAATTTTTTAAATGGATTTTTTGTAATATATTTTCAGTTCGACAAGTCCTTCGGCGACGTCTTCCATCCCCGTATGCCAGACGGATAGCTCATATGATAGTCATGATGTTAGTCTTATTACTGCTTTAAATTAGCTGTTTGATCTTTTCTTTTTTGCTTTAATTATAAATACATTGCACTGTGTCAGGTTTTGATTTTGAAGGGTAAAAGAGAGCATGCACATCTGCGAGGAAGAGGAAAAGCTGTAAAAATAAAACTTTATGAATTTCAGTTTTTGATACTGATATAAGAAAAGTAGGAATAAACTTTACGGTCGTTCTCTCTTTTTTTAGCACTTATCTACGTTCAATATTTATCAGTTTCTTGTTTTTTGAATGTAACCAGGTCTACATCATATCTTTAATTTTCATTTTTGGATAATCTACGGTTTTTAAAGGTTTTAATTTTTCTCGGAACATCCTTGTTTTGCTTTACAGTTGGAAGCTCCACTGTTTGTGCAGACGGTATCCAGTTGTAACCTATCAACGTCGACCACCGTTACAATGGGGAATCTTTCAACGGAGCCAAATTTCATACGTTTCGGTGAACGATTGTTTTCGCGACCGATTGATATCATTTGTTTACCCAATATTTTTACCAAAAAGCAGTTGCTCGCTGTTTCCGATAGTTGTGGAGGTAAATTTTCAGTCCTTGACATATTTCATTTGTCTTATCTGCTGTACCAGTTTAATTTTGAAACATGGGAAGAACCTTTTTGACTTGGAGTCTTAAATTTCATCTCAGCGATATATTTCCTCCTTGCATTCTTATTTTGGGAATTACAAGCTTGATTAATGAAAGTTTCTCAATGTACATTGTCGCTGCTTCGGAAGAGAAGTTTTCGCTGCTGGGTTTTAAGGTTTCCAAGATCGCTATTTTTGATTTCAGGTGTATATATAGTGACATGTAAAGGAGAAGTATTGCAACACTTGCCAACACGGGACAGTTCGGCATCATCATTGACTATTGACCCGACAAGTTGGCGTCTTCTAGTTAGCGTGATGCATAGCAAAGGACGAAGCATACATGCGTATGACATTACAAATCATTTCAAAAAAGTAGAGGTAAATTTTTTTTACAAGTTCGGTTTCTTTGAAACACTTTTACGAGGTTCTGAAATTATCTGAATTTGTCGAATCTTTCTCTCCGCTTGACATATATATCCTTCTTCCAGGTAATTCCTTGTCCCAAAGAACCAAAGATTGAGTTGAGTAGAACGCGATGGATAACAGTGAGCCCGCGCGGTGAATTATTTGCAGTTTCGGGAGACAACCATCGTTCAGCACTATGGATGTATAATCAATCCAGGAAGGTTAATCTTTTTAAGCAATAAGTTTTTTTGTTCGGCGAACTCTTTGCAACATGAAATCACGGAATTCAACTTCGAAATGCATTTTCTGAATAACTGTAAATCTATCGGCCAACTTGAAAAGTGCCAGAATTCTTTAAATTTTCATTTTATTTTTAAGGGATGGAAGATTTTGAAGGAATCGAGGAAAACTCGGTACCAATATCTTCGAGTGGCCGAAGATCAAGCCGAATACAAGTTTATTTTCGAATTTCTTTAATAGGAGCAAAAAATTAAGAAAATCCCACTGATTCGGAACTTGCTAAGATTCTCAGTTATTTTAAAATCGTAAGTATCTGATATAGTTTAAAATTAATTGATAACCGGATAGAATATTAGATCAGCCTTAGGGAAGAAATCTCAATAACACTGCATTCAATCTGTCTTTTGAGCTTTTGGTCATTTAATTAAAATTATCAATTTGTTTTAGAGCTGTTGTGCTATTAACATGTGACGCGGCGCAAAACCGTATATTACTCTTCGTAGCAGATCACACAGGCACTCTAATTAACGAATATGACTTAACAAAGACGTACAAACTCTATGAATACATAAAAAATCCGGCCAGTGCTATTGTCGATTCAGTAAGTTAGTAAATACATTTACCTGTATGATCGTACTTTTGCATTCCGTTACCACTAATACACGAAGTTATTGTTTGGTTTTAATTAACTTTCAACTTCTAAGTTATATATTCTCAATTTCCTTCAGTTTGGGAATTTGTTGGTACTTGACTATGCTACTAGTCGTTTATGGGCATTATTGGGCAGCACGAAAGGGATGCGTCACATAAAAGAAATTGTTATTCCTAACCCGCTGGGCCCCCAAGAAGCCCTTGGAATTGCTGCACATGTAAGTTAATCGTTTTTTAAAGTCTCATGTGAAATTTTTGTTCGGTTTTCTTTTTTGCGAATCTTTTGTATCAGGAGTAATTGAGTTCATTCTACAGGATTACTGGATGAAGATTAAAACTATTGCTTTTTTTTTTAATAAAATTATTTAAAAATGTTTAAAATACCAAATTAAATGTACGACAAAGACAAACATGTATGATTTTTGTTTTTTTCAGGGTGATTGGATTTATATGACCTGTTTTGCTCGTCGAGAAGTTATCTGTGTAAGGTATTTGGTAAATGGTGTATTAGCACTGTCATGTTGCACAACCACCTCGGAAACACCGAAGTCAGACAGAAGAGCTATTTCTCTGCCAAGACCAACGAGGAAACCGGATCAGGTTTAATCTCCAGCAGAGATTAGAACTTTATTTCGGATCTTGTTTCTTGTTGATTGTTTAGCCTTATGAAAACAAAGATAATCCTTTTTGGAGTCCGCTTCAATACAAATCTAATGTACTAGCTGAAAAAGGTTTTTGTTCATAATGAGTTTTCATGAGACATTATTCTGTTTCTGACTTCACTTTTGTTTGGTTCAGAAAATTAAGGAATTTAATTGAGAAAATTTCAAAATTCTTGTTTCTGAACTAGTTTTATCAACAAGAACTTGCCATTCGTGAATTCATGTAATCTTGTAGAACACTGCACATAGATGGAATTTATCCACTCAAAATTTATCTGTATTTATTTGAAAAGTCATTAATTTCGTGGTTTGGAGGAAAAAAAGTTGCTATCGGCATAACAAAATAGCTCAACACTCTTATTTCAAATATGAAAATGCAAGTTACTGCATTCAAAATGAATTCTGTGTAATTGCGCTTTAAGAATGAATTATTATCTCCGTCTTCTGAACCTATGCTCATTGTTTGATAATGACTGTGATTAATTATATCTGCTTGATTGAGAATAAATGCTGATTCTGACAAGTAAATATGCTAGTTCATAAACCACGTCTTTTACTTGTCTTAATGTTTTATATGCAATACTTTTATTGATGAGGCATTGCCTAGATCTTTTGTGCCTTTACATTTTGATTTTTTATTACTTATTTTTTGTTACCATTATCACTGGTATTTTTTTTGTTACTATTATCACTGATATTTTTGAGACGGCTTCCTACCTTCCTATTTTTCTTACATTTTTTTTCTTTCTGAAGAAAACCTTTCAATATGAGACTTTAAGTTTCTTTAGACTTTCAAATTTCACAAAGCTTCGTTTCTAAATCTCATTCATTTACGATGAGTATGAATGATATCTAAAACCTTTTCTGATTTATTTCTCTCAGGTTGTTACACTTTCTATATTTTATGTACAAGTTTTTATTGAGACTTTGAAAGGTTTAGAATCCTAATTTCAATTGTTTTACGTAAGAGTTATATGTACAGATTCGTTATTCGAAATCCTTCGAAAGCTTTCATGCTTAATTAACAGTATCGTACAACTATTGTAATGCATCAGCGCCTTAACTCAGACAATCTTTTGCTTTCGTTTTTTGTTTCTAATTTTTTAATTTTTGTTTTCTATCTATCCTGTCATTTCAGATGTGTAGAGTTTGTTTTGAAGAGTTGAGATGAAACCTTTAAACCTGCTTTGCATGATTTTCTGAAATATAAAAGTCTTTGATTTTTCTCTTCTCCAAATAATTTAATCAGATTGGAAATACGCTTTATTTTAACTGTAGATTTTTTAATAAGTGCATTCTTAGGAAAATAGAATTAAAATTTTTCTCTCTATTGTGAAAAAAGTTTGCAAAATAGATGAACCAACGCAAATTGATATGGAATTTCTGTTTCTTTCTTTGTAAATTTTCCTATTTATTTTTTCCTCCTCGTTTCTTTGCTTCTAATTTCACTTCCTCTTACTTCCAGAGGTGTCACTTATTTATTTACTTCCGTTCAAAGGATATCAACTATCATGCTGAAAATGGTTATATAATTTGTCTTAGTTTTCGGCAATGAAGTTCTCTTTTTAGCAGGCTATATTTTTATTTATTCATATTTTTTTGGCGAGTTGTATAAAATTCTGCATATATGATATGTGTTTGAATTAGCAACATGAATAAATTAGAAGAAAAAGAAAAATCGTTCACTGGAAAGAAAATCTGATTTCATAATAATCATTATAATTTATTCTATGTGAAAGTTTTCGGAATAATCAGTTATTCTTATTTCGTTGTTACTACTCATTCAACAACATTGCATATGTTAAAAAAGAGTATTAAAGCAGCGGTTCAGTATTTTAGATCCAATTGCAGGTTTCATTAGTGATTCAACAAAAACGAAAATTCATCATACTATTGTGGCTGATTTTACTTAGAATGCCGCAGCTAATTTATTCGATGCAAATTAGCTCAATTTTTAGTAGTAAAGAATAATTTGATACTAGCTCAAAATAAGGTACGGTCAAATTCATTTTCAATAAATACGGGCTATATGTCTCAATAGTAAGAAATTAGTATCATTATGTTTATAATTTACTAATTTTGCATTCAAATTTTATTTTTGCTACTATTGAAGTTGTGCAAAAATTTACTGTACTTTATGAAGCTTTATGATGTGTCCTTAAATACTTATGAAATTTTATGATGTCATGTCGTATCTTTAAAATATTATACTTTGTCTTTCGATATGTGAAGGGAAAAAAGCTTTGAATAAAACTCGTAAGAAAAAGCAGTTAGTTAAGTCGATAAATTCAAACAACATCAATACCACTTCAAGATGATAATATCATCTAATAACACCTTTAAATTTGATTTTTTTGCAGTGACATCTGAATTACTCCTTTTGTACTTCTTTTTAACTCATGAAATTTAGCTCCAATTAAATTTCTGAAATTGATATTACTGCATTGATTACTGTGCCAACTATTATCATACTTTCCACAGTAACTTAGCTGTATGAAACATTTCAATATAATAATAATTCTTCTCAAAGAAACCAAAGCGATGAACTACTACTTTCAATAGTATTTTTCTTTTTCTCAAAATACACTGTTATAATTACTTTTATTTAATTGCATACATGTTATGCTGAACTTTCTCATTTTCAAAATCCAGTTTAAATTATGCCGTAAATCGATTATTATTACCTATCTTCCTATCTTCCTTACCTTTTTCAATTTTTTTTCTTATTTAATCCAAAATTATCCAATTGATAGAATTGGCGTAAATACGCTGAAAACTTGTCCTATTTTAACAATTTCACGTTACTAATAATAGTATCGTTTACATATTCCGGTTTAGTATATTCCGGTTTAGCACAATTTTTTCTTTTTTTTTTTAAATCAATTATTTACCTTTTTTTGTACTTATTTTTCGCTCTTTCTCATTTTCTCTCTCATTTGTTTTATTATATATTCTATTATTTCATTACTTCTATAATTATATATTCATTTTCTCTCTCATTTGTTTTATTATATATTCCATTATTTCATTACTTCTATAATTATATATTTTACCTTTTTCATTTCTTATTTCTAAGTTAATCTCATTTTCTTTGACTTAGAAAAGAATAAGAAAAAAATGAGATGGAAAAATTGATAGTACATATATATGAATTGATAATGATAATATCTTTTATCAGATAATGCTATTTTAAGCAATGATACATCACTTCATAGTTCCTTCATAATGTTTTCTTTCTTTAAATTAAATGATATTTCTGCATTATCTGATATTACTTACAAACATATGAATTGATGATGATAATATCTTTTATCAGATAATGCTATTTTAAGCAATGATATATCACTTCATAGTTCCTTCATAATGTTTTCTGTCTTTAAATTGAATGATATTTTCGCAATATCTTATCAGTAATTATCTCTATTCAATGATTATCTAATGATATTAATAATCATTTGTTATTAATCATGATTTATATTAGTGATAAATAGATTGACTGCATATTACATATATATGACTAATCTAAACTTCTCATTTACCTTTAATTTTTCCATTCTATTCAATCAATATATTCTCTCTTACATTGTTTGCATGATTAACATTGGTTTTTCATGTATCGTACATTTTCGATAGGATATTTTTCAAAACTTTATTTGATACTTTAATTTATTGTTTTTATATTTTTCTTACTTTGCTTGATAAAAAAAAGCATGAAGAATCCTTGATAATTATTATATCTTATGATCATTACAATGATTGCTATCATAATTATCATTATCATTGTAATCATTTCAACAATTTCACAATGCTTCACAAGCTTAGGATATCTTATGAATACAGTTCCAAAATTGTTGTTTTTACAAAAAAAATCACGCAAAATTTTTTTACAATTTTAGAGCCTAAATTTATAATTAAGTAGCTTATCTTATATGTGGGCCAGTTAAAAAATCCCAGAAATCAATCGATACATATATGTTCAAATATAAATTAATTAGCGCTTTCACTTAATAGAATACCAATCTCTTCAGCATTTTTCGGTCATATCTGCCAATCAAAATTTGAATTGATACTTCAGTTCATATAAGTTTCAGCTTATTGATAACAGTTCTAATGATGATAATATAACTGAAAGGTATTATTAGTATTAAAAATATTTGTAGAAAATCGATAAACATATCTTCTTTTATTTTATAGTCACAGAAAGAATTTATTACATCAAATAACGATTTAGTGATGAGCAAGTTTTCTAATTTTTATCTCACTCATACCACTTCTGCTTTTATAGTTTTTATCATTCTTACACGATCCCAATGAATTTTATATTTCTAAAATAGTTGACTGCAAATTATCCTGTTTGGAATTTTTAAACGAGTAATTTTAGCACATTACTAAAAATATTTTGATAAAAATTTTCATCGAAATTATCATTTCATTTCATTCATTTCATTTAGCAATTAAAAATTATTGCTTTTTTAGTAATATAAATAATAGGAATGAATTGTTTTTAGCTCTTTCAACAATTTCTTTAACGTAAATTAGCCGACAAATTATCTTATAATAATTTAATTTCATTTTACGAAATTTCTTTTTTACAATTGCCAGAATTTTTATAATATATTTTAGTAAGCTATTGTTTATGGTTGAATTGTATTTTTGAAAATTATTATAGTTTTAAATTATAATTATACTAAAATATTTACAGCGCTAATTTCATGTTTAATCATTCCCTTCGACATTTCCATTAATATGTAATTAAATAAGAAAGTGGTTTTTATTCTGTTTATATTTTCTAAAACTAAAGTTTAAAAATTTAGTAATGATAAAAGCATTACCAATAATTGTTTCATTAAATTATCAAAAATTAAAGCTCTTAATGATTCATACAGGTTCAGTTGTTTAAAAAAAAAAGAGAGAGAGAATTAGCATTTAAACATTTTTAGTAATAATCATCGATCAGCACACAGTCCGGTTTTAATACATTTTATCATTATTATCAGTATTAATTTCCAGAAAGCAAAAGAATAAATGTGATAGAAGGATTTAAATCAGATTATCATTATCTTTAATTAAACTGATGAAAATGGCAGTAGCAAGAATGATGGCGCTGTCAACTGTGTTTTTAACATTTGTGAGTAAAACGACAGAGCGACAACAGTTAAGACGGTTTCACTCTTCTGCATGTTATTTTGTTTACAATTTGAGAATTCAAATTTATCCAATGATTTATTCCTAAACTTCGCTTCTCCTTAAAGCTACTAAATTTCTTAATTTTAAATTTTATTAAAAGTCGAAAATAACCAATTTCAAAATGAACGAATTGTTTGGATCAAAATCTAAAGAGTGTATCTTATTTTTACCATCTAAAATTTCTTCTTCACCTCGATAAAATCTTTAACAATTTTTCATACCAATTATTTTATCTTTGATTTAAATTTAAAAGATAAAAAAGCTTCAGCATTTTAAAACAGATTGAATAAAGATAAGCAGGCAATTGACATTCTCAAAATTTTATCATTTCTCTCAACCGTAATCGATATTATCAACGATCATAATTTATAAAATGAAAATTATTTTTAGGTTTTTCGCATACCTGCAATTATATTCACAAATTCGTGGACACCAATTAACAGAAGGTAATAACTATTACATATTTCATTAATTATTTGGGTAATACTTTCTTTTTTCTTACTTAATTACTTCTTCTCATAATCACATATTTGTTTATTTGTTTCCAATCACTTTTCCATTTTCCAACATGCACACACACACACACACACACACACACACACACACACACACACACACACACACACATGCACACTTTTATAAATAAGTCATTATTTTCGATATGTTTCTTTACCGATCATTTCATCTGATAAAGATAACTATAAATAAGTTATCATTTCTGATCTGTTTCTTTACCGACCATTTCATCTGGCAAAGATGGCTCAGATTTGGAAAAACTTTAAAGCGATAGAAAATGAAAAACAATGCTTTTTTAGCTTTTCTCCAGATTATCTCAATTTTTCAAAAAATTTGTAATATTTTTCATTAATTTTATCTTTCATATTTCTTCGATTATTCATAATTAATTGTGAATTTTTTGAAAAACTCCACAACTTTATAACAGTTTTCAATTTCATTTTATGAGATGAAAATTGCCTTTTCTTTTGTTGAAGTTTCCATATATTGAAATGTATTAATTGAAATTAAAATATGAAATTGAAATGCATTAATTGAAATTGAAATATGAAATTGAAATGCATTAATTTGTGAGCATTCTGCTACATTCTTTGAAATTAAAGGTAAAGAGAAAGTAATTCTACTTTTCCGGATATAATTTATTTCTTATCCAAAAATATATCGCTCATTAGAATAGCATATTTAAAAAAAGCGAATTTCAATTTATGAAATCAAAATTCAATCTTCAGCTTTTTTCAATCTCGTCAATCAGGACAAATTCAACGACCCAAATTGCAATTGCGTAATTCGCAACAGATTGGTGGATTAAATCGTCAGGTCAGATAATTTATTCCGCTGAGGGAGTATTGATAAAAGTATATATCTGATAATACATACTGAACAATCAACAATGTATTATAGAGGTTAATTAAAGAAGAGGAAAGCTATCAAAATGTAATTTCAGTTGGTAAAGAAACCTTCTTCAATCAGCAAAAAACTTCTACAAAGTTCCACTATCATAATTAATAATGGTCTGCGACTTCAAAGGTAGCTACTTATATTAACTTGTAAACTTTCAACTAGAAAAAAGAAAAATAAACTTCATCATAAACTTTTATACTGAATATTTCAAATTCCATGACAGTTGCAACTACAACAATATGATTGCGATTTCATCGATATGGAAATTTTTAAAGTTTTAAAATTCATAGAGATAATAATTACTATTTGTTTTTACTCCATTGATCCTAACTGATAACTAAATTTTAATTAATCATTTTGAGAAACAAATCAGGACAGCTACAATTCGTTCGTCTGAGAAAATTACTTGGACAAATTCCTTCCGAAAGAATAAAGAAAATTTCGGATGAAAAGAAAATACAATTACAGTTGCAACCATTCAGCTTCAAAGATGGGTAAGTTTTAAACATTTAAATTCATTTTTGTATCATTCTCAAATTAACTTTAAAACTCTTCCGCTAGCTTGAAGAGGAAATATAAGAATCAAAGAAATGATGAAATCGATAAATACATAAATCTTCATGTGATTAATAGTAGAAATTTTTTATTGGCTACGAATTAGTTATTTTATCTTGCAAATTTTAGCTGTCAACAATTCTCGATGAAATTAGTTTTTTTCAAAGCTGAAATGACATTGGTGCATTTTTTTTTCTACCATAAGCTCAACTTATTGCTGTAATATTTTCCGCACACAATGTATTCCAGTTGACAGCTTTGCTTACAATATCATTAAAAAATTTCATTAAATTAATAAACAATAAAATTGAATAATTTCCCGATTTTTCTTCACCTTTTATCAAATTGTTAAGGAACCTATCATTTACATTATCGAATTTGATGTGATAAAACCAAAATTAATAATAATATTAAAGATATACCTTTTCATCCATAAAGAATACTTACATTTCCAGTTGTAGTGAAAATTTTCAATTATTAATTTTATATTAATTATTTTCTTTTACTGGTAGAAATAATTATTTCATTTCAGACCATTTAATTTCACGAATCGATTTGAGGTTACTACGAAGGCTGACACAATAAGCCATCTGCTACATTTTACCACCACCACATTACCACTTTCTTCACTAAACAGCAGCAATTTTGATTTAGAAAGCAAAAATTTGAAGATATTTACCTCTACTGAATTTCCATTGGAATTCCTGAATGAAACGATTTTATCAGCAAATGATAGAAACAATACGTTACCGTCTGAGGAACAATCGCAACAACGCCCTCAACATATTATTATATTTGAAAATGAAAAGCAAAATTCAACAGGTTAGTCTTTCATTACAGTCATCTTAAGCATTTTAACGATACTATCAAAATTTCAAACAGTAAGTTACCAATCACGCTACTGTAATAATTACAATTTTTGTTGAGTATTTTTAGAATGAATCGGTCACTTTCGAAAATAAGCCTTCATATTTCCTATCATATCATATTTCTTCATGAATAAAATAATATCCAATGAAAAAACAAACGAATAAAGTTTATACTTAAATTTGAAAGTCAATTTCAACAAGAAAAAAAACTGATTTAATATTTAAAAAAATGGTTTCAACAGTTTGAAATTATTTCCAACAATATTTTTGAACTTTATTAAGACTTGTTCTTTTTCCTCACTGAACTTACATTTATTAAATTTTCATTTAGTTTCACTTTGTTTTAGTAAAAATTAAAATAATTCAAAATTAATAAAGGAAATTACATTAATTAAATTTGAGAAATTATTATAAGATAGCAAAATAAATTTGAAACACATTAAATTTATGTTTAAAAGAATTCAAGGATTTAAGATTTGATTTAAAGATTTCTTTCAAGCATTTAATTACTTAAGTATAATTTAATATTTATTAATTCATTTGTTTATTCAGTTATGGAAGTAGCAACTAAAAAGTGAATTTGTGCCATTCAATTTCACATATACTATATTCTATTTATACTTTAAAATAGTTCCATTTGTAATTCGATTATTATTAATTCTTTCGTAATCGTTTATTTCTTTTTACAGTAACAGAATCAACACCTTTGCCTACGGTAGCGGTAGCAGAAGCTCATCATACTTCATCGCCGTTTATTGTACAACCTTCGCTTCCTATTGCACCCATATCTGAATCAAAATTTTCAAAAAGTTTACCGAGCAATGCTGAACCACCTGGTATCGTTCCACCCAGCGATCAAATAATTGAGCAACTGAACGATGCTCAAAATTTCCGTGTTTTAGCAGAACTTATGGAACTTAAACGAGATTTTAATAGAAATGACACTAATTAATTTCAATGAAATTGCGCATTAGTATATATTAAAAATTTATTTTGGATTATTATTATTGATATGTTAACTAAAATAAATAGTGGAAATGATCAGTGTTTCTGATACTTTAAAATGATTCAGAATTTCAATTAAATATATGTGCTAATTAATTCTTTTAGTTTCTACAGAACTAAATGATAAAGCGAAAATTTGAATTTTTAATATTGAAAATGAAGATTTATGGATTTATTTATTTGGCACTTTAAATTTTATCATTTGATATCTTTCTTTTAACATTTTTATCAGTAATTTTTCAATTCAAATGTAAAACAATTCAAATGTTAAATAAGTTTGGAAATATCGATCAAAATCATTCTGTCATTAAAATATTAATTATTTAATGAAATTAATTAAAAGTTTAATTAAATCAATTAAAATTTCAAATTAAAAATTTTGCAATTCAAATGCAAAATTGATTCATATAGCATATTAATGGATCAAAAATTAAGATAACAAATGATTTTCAATCTTTTCCATTCTTAATTTATAGCTATGTTCATTTCTGACACAATCACTGAAGTAAAATCCTTTCAAGCTGAAAATTTAGGTCAAAAAATTGCTGTAAAATGTGAAAATGGGTAAAAATTGAACAATCTGTCTGTGTATGTATGTATGTTTGTGTGTGTATGTGAATG